GTGTGACCTTGGGGGTAGTTACGTCATCTCTTTAGGCTGCCATGTTCTTTTCTGTGAAAAGGGAACTGTAAAAGTAGCAACCACTTCACAGGACTGTTGTGAAGATGTTGTGGGTAGAAAGCTTTCTATAGGTAGAAAGCTCTTTGAATAATGCCTGGCTACAGAGGGAGCACTCATAAATACTAGATATCAATACTGTTCATGGCCACTAGCTTCATCTCATCGCCTTTGTTGATGAGGAACGAGGTAATGGTTACAACCATGAGTTGTAACTGCGAGTTACAACATTGTAATCAACCAATCAGAGTTGATGATTTTATTTACTACTATGGCAACCCTTGAGGGATACTGTCGCATCCATGTTCCAATCAGGATCCTGGTCACATGACTAGTGGCAGAGGTTCAGGTGGGTGTGCCTGCTTCACTACTCCCCTTCTGGAACCAAAGCAAACACCTCAAGGGCAGCCTAGGCTGTGATAGGTGCAGGGGAGTGGGTGCCCGAGGCTGCTCTATCCAGGTAGGAGTTCAGGGCCCTGAGTCACCTCCACTCTCCCAGCAGGGGCCCTGGCTTTGGTGGCTGATCCCCTCCCCCTCTGTGGACTGCTGTGGTGAAGCCCCCTTCTAGGGCACTATCCCTGGGTCTGGCACTGGAGGCATGGAGGGCATACTCTACCCCTCTCAGGGCCCGTACCCCTCCTCATTCCATCATTTCCATCCTAGGGACCCTGTCCAGGGCCCTGATTCTTCAGCTACTGCTATGATCTCTCCTCTAATTACCACTGGCCTCTCTGCCCACCTATAAATCTGAGGCCATTTATCTGACAGGTGTTATTTTTAGGGGTGAGGGAGTTTGCCTGGGGGTTCATGGATATTTTAGCCTGGAAGTCTGACCCACTCCCTCTGCTAGGAGGTATTCTCCATGCCTGAAGAATGAGTCACAGAGAGAGGAAGGGAGGGAGAGTGACACCAGTCTTCTTATCTGTAAAATGGGGTAGAGAGAGCTCCAGTCCCCGGGGAAGCTGGGAGGATCAAGAGTTCCGCACTTCGCGACCCTCACAGCAAGAGTCCTGTTACCAGGTTTTATTAGTGGGGTGGGGAGTCTGCCTGGAGTGCTGCACAGTCCCCCTGAAGGTGGGACTGAGCCCTTCCTCTGCTCCCCCAGGCCCACAAAGTAGACTTGGCCACTTTCAGTCCCTTCTCCCCTCTGCACACTGCTGTCAGCTCTAGGTGTCATCTGATTTTCTCCATTTGGGAAATTCCAGAGTCTTGCTTCACAGCAAGCAAGTCCAGTAGCAGGCAGCTGGCGTGCTCATTAAGGGTCCCAGACCTGAGAGAGGCACTGCTGGGGGAGGGGTGCTGAGGGCCGGAAGCTGCACTCCTGGTTCCCACCCTTTCCGGCTGCTGACCCACCTGACCAGTGTCATTGCCTCAGCCCGTCCTCCCTCCTTCTTCCCCCTTGCCTGACACATGCATGGTCTGTGTCCCCAGCTCCTTTCAAGTGCCCCTGCCTTTCTGCTCCCTGCCCTTTGTCCAACAACCAGGCATGGTCCAGGCTCATTTGTCATGGGCCCTAGAGCCCCCTAAGGGCTTACTGGGTCCTGGCCTTGGCCTTTGGTGGTGGCATTTCTCAGCGCCATCTCCAAGCTTCTCGGAAAAGAGACCTTGTTAGGCTTACAGGGCTCGCCTGAGACCACATGGCTGGCAAGCCGGTCATCACCAGCTGCCTGTGTGCCCCATGAGAGGGATGCTGTGCATAACTGTGACTGACAACAAAGCCTCTTCTTCACCTGTCCCTCTCCTGACCGGCTCCTGTCCCCCTGCTCCCAAGGCCTTGTCTCACTCCTTATTCTCCTCAGCTCTTTGCTCAGATCTGAGGACACTCCTAGGAAAGGAGAGGCCAAGGGTGGGTTCCCTCGATGGCTCTGGGGACAATTCTGCAGGTCTAGAAGCTACCCCTAGAACAGTGCCATCGGAGAGGACTTCCTGCAGCAAGAGACCAGTGGAGGATCCACCACCTTGCCCGATGTGGCAGGCACTAGCTATTCTGGCTACTGAGCCCTGGAAGCAGGGCTTGTGTGACTGAGGGACTGCAATTTAAAACTTAATTTTAATTAATTCACTTGTAAGAAGTCACCTGTGTGGCTGGTGGTTACTCTATGGGATGCATGTGACGCTAGTGTCCTCTGGGATCCCCAGAATGCTAGGACCCAGGCCCATACAGGCCCAGCCTCTGCCCACAGGAGAGCTCCCTCCCTCTGACTCCAAGCCTTTCCTGCCAGCCTCAGGTCCCGAGACTGTGGCCGCCATGTCCAGTCCCTCCTCTCTGTCTGTGTTTCCCCCAGTGCTGGGCATGGCCCCTTGGCCTGCAACAGCCTCCTGTTTGGCCTCACTGATTGCCAAACAGTGGTCTCTCATTCTAGGGACAGAAGTGCCCTCCTCAAAACCCTCCAGTGGCTCCCTATTGCCCTCATGTAGATCGCATGTTTTGAAGCCTTCTCGAGCTGGGGTAGGCCTCACTCCAGGCACACCTCTCACCTCTTTCCCTCCCTGTTCGCACAGTCTTGGACTTCCTTCAGCCCAAGGCAGACCCTTCCCTCGGCACTGGCCTCCAGAAGCTGTCCCTTCAGCCCCTAGCAAAAAGACCCACACTCCCCCTTTGCCTGGCAAACTCCTTCTTTCCCTTTAACTGTTCATCTAAAGATTACTTCCCCAGGAAGACCACCATGACTGCCCCCACCAACAAGCTACCCTGCTTGTCATATATCTCCCTGGTCCCCATACAACATGGTAACTGCTCATTTTCTTTTTGTGACCATTGTATGCCTCCCTGTTGTCTGACCTGTAGGTAGCCCTCAGTAAACACTGGCCCAATGCAGCAGGGAGAGCTCTGTCACAGGGTCTGTAAACCTAGGTTCTGGGCTCAAATCTCATCACTTGACCCTGAGCAACCTACTGCCTTTCTCCAGGCCTCCAGTTGCCCATTTAAAATGCACATCACAAGGCCAGTGAGACTGCTCAGTGGACTAAGCGCCTGCTCAGGCAAGTGCAGGGAGTGGGTTCCTTCCCTAGCACCACATGCCATGCCTGCCCTGGCCCTGGGCTGAGCCACCCACCAAGTCCAGGCATGGTGATGCATGCCTGTAATCCCAGTGCTGGGGAGCCTGAAAACAGGAGGATCACTATGAGTCCAAGCTGTGTAGTGAGACCCTGTACCAATTACATTAAAAAAAAAAAAAAGATACGATAAAATGGAGGTCACTTCAGATGACTTTGGGGTGACTTTTAGCTTTAGCAGATGAGGAAACCCAGAACTCTGTGTGTGTGGGGGGGAGGCACGCTGCTGCTGTACAGAGGGTGGAGGTGTCAGCCCAGTGCCCAGAGGAGGAGATGAAGGGAGGCTGGGTCCTGAACACGGAATCAGGCAGTGGCATAGGTGGGGCTCACCTGATCACTGAGAGCTTAAGCTCCAGGGTCAGATGTTGGTCCTCACACAGCCAGGGCTCCCAAGGTACCAGGAGGCACTGATGCCCTCTTCCCTGCCAACCAATCCCATCTGCACATCCTGTTAGCCAGTGAAGCTGGCTGATCCTCCTACTGCACCCAGATCCTGCCCCAGCCAGGGGACCAAGTGAAGGCAGATTCCCTGGGGACGGGTGGGGCATGGGAATGAAACAACTGGCAGCAGCTGTGGGGCACCAGTGACCCCAGTCATGCCCTGCTGCACCCACTCTGCCCCTGTCCAATCCTGGGGAATGGTGAGGGGCAAGAGGCCCTGGACAGAAGCCTGGCTGGAGTGAGCCAGTGTAACTTGCCAGAGCGCCCACAACACCCACCAGGCAGAGCTGGGCTCTACTGTTTGCCACCCCCACCCACCTGCTGCAAGCTCAGAGAGGTTAGAATAGTAGCACCAAGCCACACAGCTGCCAAGCAGCAGTGGGGATAAATCCAGGTAGCCACAGGCATTGCTCTGCACCACACAGCTCCACCCGCGCCTGCTAGGTCGGAGACCCTTCCCACACCTCCCCACAGTCCAGTCTGCTCCAGGAGGGCACCAGAGTGCAGGCCATCCCCCTCCTATCCTGCTCCACTGGGCCTTGGTCTTCTGTGCCCCTGATTCCCTGCAGGTCCCCAGGCCTCACCCTTCCCAAGGCCCAGCCTTCCCTCTGGTGGCACCAGGAGACCTAATGCTGTCCTTCCAAGGGAGGATGGTGCCTTTTCCTGCAGTCCCAAGATGGCCCAGGCTAAGGGACACACCGGTAGCTTCTAGACCACTTAGGATCTAAGAAAGCTCAGCATCCTTCTCCCAGAAGGTTGCAGGGGCCATTCCAGGGGCGCCTGAGTTAGAAGATCCAGTTTAAGGAAGAGGAAAGTACGGGCTCAAGGGTTCAATTGTGCCCCAGAAGACCAGAGCCGGGAGACCAACATTTGGGTCTCCAGAAGGCCTTCTGGGGCAGCACCAAGGATCAAGACATCCCTTCCAGCAAGGACGGCGCCCTCTGCCCCAGGCCAGCTTGCTTGGCTGACTCTCCTCTTCCTCTTAGGTTATTGCCCTAACAGGCCTGTACCGACCCTCTAGGGGGTGGGGCTTGGGGTTCCGCACACTGCGGCCGTGGACCCGGCTGGCTTCCCGCCGCGTGGGCACTGGGCAGCTCACCGCTCCAGCGCGGGCGGGAGGGAGAAGAGCAGCTCGGCCGTCTCTGCGCGGCTCTGCCCGCCCAGCCTTCCTCCACCTGCCCAGCGCGCCTAGGGCGCTGCCAGCGCCGGGTACCGGAGTCGCCTGTCTAGGGCGGGAACCGGGTCACGCTCCCGCCGCCCGGGTACTCCGGGTCCCTGGCAGGGCAGCGTCTGTCTGCGGCCCAGGTCCTCCTGCAGACAACTGGTGTGAGCCGGGGCGTGCCGCTCCGAGCAAGAGCGAGCGCCCGAGGCTGGGGCCGGTGGAGACTGGAGGCTGCGCGAGGGGGCGCCGCGGGGAGGGATAAAAGCCAACAAAGAGCACAGACCTCGTCCAGCAGTTGGTTGACTCGTCCCAAAATAGCCGTCTCCATTTGCTGCTCCCCGCGCTCCGCTTCCAGGCGCACCACCCGGGCCTGTAGCTCGGCCGTCCGAAAGTGAACGAGCAGACTGAGCGCCAGCGAGCACAGCGCCAGCGCCAGCAGCCCGCACGACCCTGGGCTCGGCAGTCGCGCGCAGTGCTCCGCTTGCGCCACCGTCCTGGGCGCACCTAGCTGCTCGGGGTTGGGGGCGCCAGCGGCTTCAGCTTTGCGGGCGCGCTCCGCCACCATCCCCTCGGGTCTTGAGAACCAATAAATAAATAAATAGAATAAATAAAAGCCAAAGCCGCTGCCAAAAGGCGCGACCCAAACTGCGGAGTCGGGGGAAAGGACTCGTGGTGCTGGCAAACGTTCCTTCCCTTTGCTCCGTGTAGAGGATCGGAAAAATTAGCAGTAGGAGGGGGAAAGCCAAAAGTCACGACCGGCGGAAATCAGTACAGCAAAGTGAGCAAAAAGTTATTTCGAAGAACGTTGCAAGTCCAGGAAAGTTGGGGGCATCTGACCCGCTCTCCGCGCGCCTTTCCCTTCCAGCGCGTGCGGATCCCCGCGTTGGTGCCGCGCAGTCGGTGCCGCCGTGTGTCTAGCGTCCTGCGGGCCAGCCAGCTTCGGTCCCCGGGCGCAGGGGCGCGCACGGAGGGCCCCACTGGCAGAGGTGGGTCGCGGCCGCCGCCGAGGAGCGCTGGGGCCGATTCCGGCGGCTCTGTAATTTGACACACTCCCTGCGGCTGCAAGGATCGGATGAGCAATCCGTGCTACTTCCCAAACTAATCTCTCCCGCCCCCTCCCTCCTCCTCCCCCTCCCTCCTCCTCCTCCACCTCCTGCGGGGCCCGCAGCTTGGATTTGTTTATTTATGCAAACTCGCCCGGAGTGGGGGGCGTGGTGTGCGGGGCCCGCTGCACCCGCCTGCGGGCCCCAGAGCCCCTCTCCCGCGCTCCCCGTCTGCTTTGAAGTGACACTTGGGGTTATTTATAGGCAGGAAGGGCGTGTGGATCGGAGCTGGGGCTGCTGTCCTCTCCTTTCTTCAGATTCTGACCGAGAGCCCGCTAACCTGCCACAGTCGCAGGGTCCCTCCCTAAGGCCCTCCTTCCCAAAAGCAAGCAAAGTCTGCCTTTGGGCTGCCTGGGTCATGGCTTCCAAATGGACCCGGTGTCCCAAGCAGCACGATCAATTGGAACCTCTCCCCTGGCATCGTGTCCCTTTATTTTTTGGTGCCCCCCACTAACCTCACCTTGGTCTCTGTGCCCCGAGCTCTGTAGCTCCTCCATCGCCCCGTGGGAGAGATTTCACCAGCCATTCGCATCTAGACTCGGGTGAAGAGGCAGCCCTGCAGGTGCCAGAGGCCCTGGCACCCTCATTCATTCATTCATTCATTCATTCATTCATTCATTCATTTAAGACTGAGCCCTCACAAAATACTGCAGTGAAGAGGAGCCTGGGGTCACAGCGAGCCTGCAGGTTCCATGTCTCCCCTTCCTGCTTGCGTAGGTCTGGAGCCATTAGGATTCACCCCTCTGCTGCTCCTGGACCAGCTAGCAAGGTGGGTAGTTGTTACAGGCTGCTCCACCCTGCCAGAATCCTGCCTCCCCGCTTTTCCCGCCTGCTGCCATTTCCCATTCCCATTCTCTTAGAGAAAAAGCTGAAGGCCATTTTGCATCTGTAGCTTCCTCTCTTCCTTTGTCACCTCTGGCCACTTTAAGATTCATGTCCCGAGAGACCTCTTTGTGCCTCTGGACATTTCTGCAGATGTGGTGGGAGTGGGTTTTTGGAGAAAGCCCAAGCTAGGCAAGGGAGAGAAGGCTGCCCTCGAATGTGAAGAGGAGGTGGGGACAACCCTTCCTGGGGACAACTCTTCCTGTTAACATGGGGTGTTGTTACCAGCTTCACCACGTGCGTGTGGACGGGTGGGAGCTTCACGTGTAGTATAGTTCACAGCACATCTAATAGATGTGGCCCATTTCAGAGTGCCTTCAATTTGTAACAGTAATTTTGTGAGAAGTAATACATGTTGTAATATTGCTGCCATGGAGGGGTAGAGGGAGAAAAGGGGCCAGAAAGGTCCGGGTGGCCAGGACCCCTGGGTTCCAGTCCCAGCTCTAGGATTTCCTTAACATGCTTCACTGAGTAAGTGCACCTTTGTCTGTGTCCCTGCCCTGGGATGTCCTGAGGAGACAATCCTGGAGAACGCGGAGGCAAGAGAGCCCACTAGGAGGCGCTGATGAGTTTCTCAGAGGGTGGTGCAGACCAGGAAATTGTGAGACCTGGGGTTCTCACTGCTCTCCAGGCAGGTAGAGAGGAACTGAACTGAAAATTAATCTCAATCTTTGCTTATTCAGGAAGCGGTTTTTTCCCCCCTCTCAGGTTGCCAGAGCCCTTAAATGCGAAGGCAGGAAAACCTAAACAGTCTGGGGCTGTTCCAGTTTTGTGACTGGGAATTGAGAAAGGAGAGAGCTATGTGTTATGGACCCCAACACTGGAAACATGTCCTAACCCGTGGGCTTCCTGGGACCGTTGATGTCGGAGAAACCCAGGCAAAGGTCATATTCCACTATGCTGGAGTAACTGTCCCTGGGCCTCAGTTTTCTCATTTATAAAATGGGTTTATAATGAAACTTTCTACCGATTTAGGAGGACTTCCATACGGAAATGCATACAAAGCACAGTGCCTGTCATATAATAGGTACTCAGTAAATGGTATTGCTGTTGGTGCCAAGTAGGACATGGCTCTAGGCTCCCAGATGTGAAATGGGGAAAAAATTGTGACCTATGAAGAAGCCAACAAGCAGCAGCCAGCCTCTGTTTTCCCACAGAGTAGTAGCTTATGACCAATAAGACTTCCTGTGACATGAAGGGCCATGGACAACCCTTCCTTTCTCTGGCCCTGTGTGAAACTCGGACCCCAGAGATGTCCTCAGATTAAACATTGGCTTTTCCAGATAAACGTTGCAGCAAGCTGGGCTTTTCAGAAACTCCTCTTTCTTCAGAGCTGGGGATCCCAGCCCAGAGACCTAGAGATGAAATGACCTTCTCTTCCAAAACCTCAGAGTTCCGTGGGGGAGACTAAGCCACACTGCCATGCAACCACTACACGTGGCAGAGCAGTGAGATCCACGGGATTGTGCCAGGCCATGAGGGAAAGCATCTCAGGGGGCCTCCCTCGGGAAGAAGGGCAGGGATCTGGGGAGCGTCCCCAGGAAGTAGGATTTCGGCTGTGCAGCTAGAAGGTAGAGGGCCTCCACTGCTCCCTTTGGTCTGTGGTGGCATTTGGGCTCCTAGATGAAGTAGTCACCCAGGGAATGGATGGACTGCCAAGGGAAATACCTGCATGTTAATTTGGACAGTTCTTCAGGGATTTTATGGTGGGCTTTTTCCCCCTCCATATTCCTGTTGGCCAGGCAAGCCATCTTCATGCTTTGCCCCATAAAATCCTGCCTCTTGCTCTGAACCTACTTTTAGTGGCTCTTTTTGCCTCTTGCTCATGCCCCTTGTGCAGAGTACTGGCACCGCCCCGAGGCCCAGCCTGCAGAGCCTATCTCACGGTTCATTCCTTCACCCTGCCCTGTGAATGCCAGCAGAGTTTCTCCTCCCACCTCCCTCCTTTCTGTATTCTCTGCCTCTGATGATGCCTGGACCAAGCCTTTCATGTCGTGACCACCACTGGCAACCTGAGGGGGCTGGGCTGGGACCAATTAGAACTCTCCAAATATTCCAGATTCCCCAGGCCATAGTTCTTTCCAAAGCTTTGTTATCTCCAGCTCTGCTTTTGACTCTCTTGGGCCCCTGTGGGCTTCATGGGGTCAAGTGGTACACAAGCCTGGACTCTCATAGGAGTGAGAGGTTACCTGCCATCTAGGAGCTACTGTGGTCCTGGCCTGCCTTCTAGCCTGAGCTCTGTCCTCTTGTGTGGAGGAAGGAGAGAGTAGACATTAGTGGGAAAGGAAGGGAGAAAAGTGGGCAGCTTTGAGCCATCCCAGTTCAAAAGCCCATTCATCCAGAAAATATTTAATGTGAAGCCTTTTGTAAGGCTGGGCCCTGTGCTGGTGCTTGGGATTCAACAAAGCGAGCCATACTGCCACAAACTGCTATGGGTGTGTGGGGAGCCCCTACTAGGCCTATGAACTGAGGGTGGGCTGGGTATTAAGATGAATGGAGGCTGGGGGGCCAGGGAGAGCGTGCAAGGTGGGAAATGGAGGCGAGGAAGTGAGAGGCGCTCCAGGAAATCTGAGGGTGTGTGGCGAATGCTCAGCATGAGAAGGGCTTAGAGCCTTGGACCTTGTGCTCAGGGCAATGGGGAGCTAGCAGAGGTGCTAAGCTTCCATGCTGGATGTGGGAACTGTTGATAGGTATGAGATGCAGAGCCCAAAGGGCAGAAACTAAAGCTTCCCAGGCAGGTGTAGGATGTACCAGGCAGGTAATGTCTGGGGCTCTAGCTCTTAATGTAGCTTCAGTGCAGGCTGCAAAATCAAATGTTTCCTCAAGTCAGAAGAGAGTAGTGTGCTGTGTCACCAAAAAGAGCACTGGAGGGCCTCAGGACCAAGGGAGGCTCCAGTGGAAGCTGCACAGCAGACATTTGGAGATGTCTTTTCTTGGGTCCTTCCTTCCTTCCTATGCAGCCACCAGAGCTGCCACTGCACTACAGGGATGCAGGTCAAGGGGCAGGGCTGCAGGTGCAGGGGGGAGGCCAGGCTCCCCAGGGGTCTGATGAGCTTATGAACCAGGCCCAAAGCACATTCTCTAATTAAGAGTGGAGCCCAGTGCATACCCTCTTCACCAAGCTGGGAATCGCCACACCACACATGTAGGCTGCCTCCAAGTCGTGTGTGTGTGTGTGTGTGTGTGTGTGTGTGTGCCCATAAACGGACCCCAGAGTATATAGAAGTCAAGAGTGTGTAGAAGGACATGTGCGTGCTTCTGAACAGTTGGGACCCAGCCATATCGAGGCATGATAGGAACCGTAATGAGGTCAGTCACCTGGAGCTGTGTAACACATAGTTCCAACACTCAGAGGCTAAACTAGTAATTTAGTATTTCTTTTAATTGATACAGGGCTCAGCTGAGCGGTTTTGCTGCTCTAAGTAGTGTGGCTGGGGTTGCTTGTCTGGGAGCCTGGCAGAGCTTGGCTGGCACGGACACACCCACGGAGCCCGCTCCTCTTTCAGGGCCACTCTGGGTGACCTCAGAACATGCTGCAGTCTCTCCTGCGCGTCTTCACAGTATGAGGCCAGCCTTCAGATGTAGTTTCAGGAGTGCTTTCCATGCCTTTGCGTGTAAGTTCCTGCTAATGTCCTCTGGTCTAAATGAGTCGTATGGGCAAGCCCAGGACTACCTAAGGCTTTGACGAGCAGGATGCACAGTCCACTGGAGGCTGCAGATGTGTCTACCCCAGCGAGGAGGAAATGCCTGGTAGGGCAGTCCAGGGGACATGGTTGGAGGCTCCTTTGATCCTGCTGAGTAAGAGCTGAGAAAAATGTGTGCTTCACAAGGGCCTCACCCAGCTGTGAGCTGCAGATCCTTCCAGAGCCTTCCGAGTGAGCTCTTCCATGCTGACTTCTTCCAAGAACAGCAGAGGTGCCAAGCAGCCTCCCACGTGACTCTGGTGGCCTGAGGCAGGAGCATAGCTCCCACGAGGCCTTATTTCCATAAGCAAACAGCTTTGACTCCTCTATTCACTGGAGGCTGCTCCTGGTGGTGTCAGGTGTTGGCTCCGCCCTTTACTACCCAAGTGACCTTGGACAATTC